CTGCACATCCGCTAATGTGGTATCCGCTGTTCCCAATGTGGCCTCCTCTACATCGGGGAAACCAAGCGGAGGCTTGGAGACCGCTTTGTGGAGCACCTACGCTCGGTTCGTGACAAACGACAACACCTCCCAGTCGCGAACCACTTCAACTCCCCCTCCCGCTCCTTGGATGACATGTTCATTCTGGGACTCCTCCAGTGGCACAATGATGCCACCCAAAGGCTGGAAGAACAGCACCTCATATTCCACTTGGGAACCCTGCAGCCCAATGGTCTCAATGTGGACTTCACAAGCTTCAAAATCTCCCCACCCCCGACCTCATCCCAAGACCAGCCCATCTCGTCCCCGCCTCCTTGACCTGTCCGTCTTTTCTCCCACCTGTCCGCTTCTCCCACCTCACTGACCAACCCCCACCCCCACTTCCTACCTACTAGCCTCATCCCCGCCTCCTTGACCTGTCTGCCTTCCTTCCCACCTCTATTTGTTTCAGACCCCCTGCCCCTCCCCCATTTCTGAAGAAGGGTCCAGACCCGAAACGTCAGCTTTTCTGCTCCTCTGACGCTGCCTGGCCTGCTGTGTTCATCCAGCTCTACACCTTGTTATCTCAGACTCCAGCATCGGCAGTTCCTACTATCTCATGCTTTAGTTCGTTGCTTTTCCTTTTATATTTCTTCTTGAAACCCACTTTGTTGACCAAGTTTATGACTTGTTGCTTAGATTAAAATTTTGTCTGATATTGCACTTGAAGCATCTTGGAATGTTTCGCTATGTCAAAGGCACTACATAAATTCAAGCTGTCTCCCAGAACATGATGATGATCTTTATATTTTTAACTGTGCATAATCACAGAATCTTATAATATTATTTTGAGATGGTACTTGAGGAGTTGAAGAGAACTTTGGAAAGAATTTTACATGGAAATGTTTTGTTGTATGGAGCATTAGTACTTTATTCCCAATGATCATTTTAATATAATTTCAAAAATTATTTCAGTTTAAAATTATAATCTGTTTTCTCCCCAATTTAGAAGATGTAGCACCTGTCACTGAGGATGAAGATCGTGTCGAGGACGTTGAGATAAAGGCACAAATGTCTGATGATCTGATCTCTGCAGACGGTGAAGAAGACTTGCTAGATAATGTTGATCAAATAATTGGCAAAGTACCATTTTGTGATGAGGTTGAGTTGAGTAGTGTTTTCACAGAGGACGCTGAAGGCGACATTGAAGTTGCTGCAGATTTGTCAGAAACTCATGAACCCGTGGAGTTGAGAAGACGCAATAAAATGAATGAGTTTGGGAAATGAATTGCTAATGATCCCTGTATATTCATACTTTATGAATAACATTGATCCACTTTGCTGCCTATTGTGTGGTTTTATAGAAATATTAACTTGCTGGTGATTCATTACTATTTATAACAGACTAAAATTGACATTGTCCTAATATATACAAAAGCATAGATGCAACAGAAAATTGGTTTTAGTTAAAGTTAGGATTTACTTGTTCCATAAAGTTATAATGACCTTGATTGTGTTTTTGTATTAAAACCTTTGTGAAGTTAACATGTGGCATTGCATTATTTGGGATTTTGATCTATCTAAGTTCTTGTTAGTAAACTGAACACTTGTTTAATCACAATGTGTGGATATTATTTTCCTTTTTATCAAATACTGGACTCAACCCTGAAATGTTGTCATGCTTTTTTAAGTGAGGTGTTGTTGTATTTAAGGATATACACATTTGTGCTTATTACCGAGTAAATTATACCTGAATTTAATAAGCCATGGGAAGGAAAAATGTGCAGGAAAAGACTGCGAAATGTGTTCCTTAGTATTGATCTTTTAACCTGGTGGACTCAGACTCAGACTCAGTCTGCTGCCTTCCAGACTGAGCTCTCACTTCACTTGCACTTGCCATCTAGCCTCTCAGTCCTCACCAAAAACTGCTGGAAGTACACAGCAAATTCGTCAATACCTGCAAAGAGAATGGATAGATTTAATTATTTGAATCTGATTCTTCTTCAGCAAAGGAGTCAAAAAATTAATTGTTAAGGGCTAACAGACCAGAACCTGCTCCTCAATTCGACAAGATCTTTACTAAATCACTCGCTCATTAATCTCTCACATCAACTTCACCACTTCCTGAAATATCACTGTATTTATTCAATTTACTTATGCAAAATATCTATTGACCTATGTCTTAAATATACATACCATTATCTAAGGAAAGGTATACTGGCATTGGATACAATCCAGAGAGGGCTCACATAGTTGATTCCAGGTATGAAGGAATTTTATGAGGACAGGTTGTGTAAGTTGGGCTTGTACTTATTGGAGTTTAGGAGAACGAGTGGAGACTTTATTGAAATATAAAATTGTTAGGGGGCTTGACAGGGTAGATGCAGAAAGGTTGATTCCCCCCCTTGTAGGAGTGTCTAGCACCAGAGATCATAATCTCAGAGTAAGGAGTCACCCATTTAAAGCAGAGATGAGGATTTTTTTTAATGACAGACGTGAATCTGCAGAATTCTTCATTGCAGTGGACTATAGAGGATGGGTCATTAATTATATACAAAGTTGAGGTAGACATGATCAGTCAGTAAGGGAAGCAAAGTTAATGGAGAGAAGGCTGGAAAGTAGAGTTGAAGGTTATCAGATCAGCTATGATTTAATTGGAGGAGCAGTCTCGATAGGCCAGATGCACTACTTTTGATCCTACACCTTAGGGTCATCAATTGCTTGGGTATAGAATTCCTTTGAAGAGATTTCTCCTCAGACCTATGTCGTCATTTCTGCATCTGTTTCTTGTTGGTTGCCAGAACATCAAAAGTTAAAAATGACTTTTTTTTTTAAACAAATTTCTCATGTTATTCTTAAGTAATTTAAAGCCAAGAACAACTTACATTTTTATACTGCCTTTAGAATTAACACCTCTAAACCAATGACCACTCATATTTAAAAGAAAAAGGGCAGCAAATGCATCAGAACACCAGCACCACCTACAAGCTCCCCTTTAATCCTCCACCATCCTGACTAGCTTTCTGCGTATTTGGGGCCAATCACCTTTTTTTCCCCCATAACCCTAAATGGTGTTTCTCTTTAAATAATGATTCAATGGCCTCTTGAATGCCTTAATTGAACCTACCTCCACCATACTTCCTGACAGTGCAATCTAAAGTCCAATTACTTTCTGTGAGATTTTCTCACCTCGTATTTGCATCTTTTGAAAATATCTTTAAAACTGTGCCCTTTGGTTTTCAGTCCTTTTATGAGGAACGTGCTGATTAGTTGGAAAGTGAGCTCTGGTAATTACTACTTAAAACCACTTACCAAACAATCAGTACAGTCATATAGTATCCATCACTGTCAATTATCTTAGCAGTTTGTCCTTCAGAAATGTTTGGCTGAAGCTCCATAGCTCATTAGTTGGAGCACTGATCTTGTAAATGAGTGGTCACGTGTTGGATCCTTTCTGGAATTACTGTATAAACTCATGTAAAAGTCAAATTTTTTAGACTTTTTTAATGTTAAATTTATGGGGTCAACTATTACATGGATACTACTTTTGAGGGGCTGAAATTCATGCTATAGTCCAAAATACTGTATCACTAGTAGAAGCCCAGTCTCTCACAAGTTTCTCCAAAACACAGAATTCTCTTGCTGCTACACAGTTATTTGTCTTCTCTGCAACTTGAATAACTTCCAGTTTAAACACTGCTGTATATTTTTTGTTTTTTCTGGAGTACATTTTTACGCAAAATGATGAAGGCATATGACTGTGCCTGACTCTGACCTGATGCGTCTTAAACTTTCACACCAAGTTCTGCCATTTCCCTCTGTTTTCTCTCATCTACTGTTGGTTTAGATTTTCAAACTAACATTTTAACATTTTAATCAGAAATAAAAGCTTTATCAGACATTTGACTCCCATATAGTCTCACTGATCATTCTCTCATCATAACATGTACAGGATAATACCTTGACTCGCAAATGTTGATCTGTTATCTGTGAAGAAATAGGGTTGACTTTTACAGGAGATATATGGAAAATTCGAGAATTTTTGGCCAAAAATAGGAAGTCAACTTCTACATGAGATTGACTTTAACTCGACTATATATGATATATATCTTCTAGTTAAAAAGTAAATGTATTAGAGGAAAGCAAACATCATAGCCCCTTGTGGTCCTGTTCCTGTCTCTGGGTTCATGTCTGATTTGCCCCAGAGATGCCATAATACTTGAGCAGGTTAAATTATTGTCTTATTTTTCCATTAGTATTTCTTGTGAATTATCCTATTGAGATTAGGACAGAGAGCTTCGACAAAATCTTTTTTCCAGCTGCAGTCAAGTTCTGTACTACCAAATTACAATTCGTACAGCTGAATGTGATTTTTATTTTATTGCGACAAGCCTTTTTCTGACTATCTTGCCCAGGTACTGTCCCCATTAACATAGATTCAGTATTCCAGACATTGCAGCAATTTATTATTAATTATAATGCACAGTGGATCAATTCCTGCACCAGGAATGTACATTAAGCAAAAGGTGAGTCACTGGGAATGGCAAATGTTGCACAACTGACTGTAATTTTCTTTTGGTTTAATAATAGGGGTCCCTAATGTGGTGCAGTGTCCTACTCCTGAACTAAAAGACCCAGGTTCAAATCCCACCTGCTCCGGAGATGTATAATAATACCACTGAACAGATTAATTAGGAAAAAAATAGGTTAAAAAATGTCCAGACTTTCACGATATTGTCTGATATGTCAGTGGATTAGATAATTTTACTACACAAAAGAAAGCCATTTGATTACTGGTCTCTGGACCAACTCTTCGTCTAAAGTTTTGGTTGCATTCGTGAAACGAAAGAAAATGCCCAGACTCTGATCCGCTCTACTGGACCAGCTCCAGGCTCTTTTAGGCAATCACTGCAACTGTGCGCGGAAGCATTGCAGCTTGCACATGCGCATTGCGGACCCCAGAAGTGCGGCAGGACGCGTTGGTCGTCATGGCAACGCGGAGTGATTGACGGGAGGGTAGCTGCCAGGTGAGTCCTTGGCCAGCGACAGGTGAGTTCCAGGGTGGACTAGACTAGGCCCGGCTCGGCTCAACCAGGTAAGGTGGCACATTAGTTCTACTACCAACTCCCTGAACAGCTCCAGAGCTTTCTGATGTACAGTACAATCTTTTAAAAGTCATTTTGTTCCTGAAAAAGAAAGATTCCAGTCAATCTTTGTAATTGCTTATTTTTTTACAGCATTAAATGGATCTAGAAGTTAAAGGCATCGGCACAGCATCAACACGCCAGAAGTCTGCAAAGGTAAAAGCCCAAACAGTGTCTGGATCTGAGTTGTTTCTTCCCGACTCCCCAAAATACAAGACAACAAGGTGCAGGGCTGGATGAACACAGCAGGCCAAGCAGCATCGTAGGAGCAGAGAGGCTGACGTTTCGGGCCTAGACCCTTCATCAGAAAAGGGGGAGGGGAAGCGGGGTTTTGAAATAAATAGGGAGAGAGTGGGAGGCGGATAGAAGAGGGATAGAGGAGAGGATAGGTGGAGAGGAAACAAACAGGTCGAAGAGGCGGGGATGGGGCCAGGAAAGGTGAGTGTAGGTGGGGAGTTAGGAAGGGGATAGGTCAGTCCAGGGAGGACGGACAGGTCAAGGGGGCGGGATGAGGTTGGTCGGTAGGAGATGGAGGTGCGGCTTGAGGTGGGAGGAGGGGATAGGTGGGAGGAAGAACAGGTTAGGGAGGCAGGGACGAG